GCTGTTCTTCAATGTTTAATTTATGTTTGTATAAATCCATCAAGTTTTTATGCAGTCACCATTTAAATGTTTATATTAAAAAAAGTAACTGGAGTAGAAATATTATTATGTAATTGTCACTTTATAGTTATAAAAATTTAATTGAGTGTAATTTAAGTGGTTGCATACAAATCAGTTAATTTTAACCTTCAATATTACAGTAATGTATTACCAATTGTCTCTCATGTACAGTATATTTTACAGCATTAGTTGAGATTTGTTGACGTACTGTACCTGATATGTATCCAAAATAATCGATATTGAATCTAATCTAATCAAAAATCGAATCGAATCACAAGCTTGTGAATGAGCATTTAATTGAATTCAATTGAATTGAATCGTGAAATTCAAGTCAAAAATCTTGTACCACAGAACAGACCCAGTAAAGTATGTCAGACAGTGGTAGTCTGTGGAAACCTTCACATCCAAGCACTCAAAGCTGATGGTAATTGCACCTAGAAAATTGCCAAACTGGTTGCATTCCTAACAATCCCTTAATCAGGTATTAATTCAGTTAAAGGGATAGTTCACCCAAAAATGAAAATTCTGTCATTAATTGCTCATGCGTCGTGGTACTCTTGTGAATGATCGTGGACTGACCCAGAAAAGAAGAAATCGTTGAACAAAGTCATTATTTTTGTTTTCTTTGTGCACAAAAAGTGTTCTCGTAGCTTTGTAAAATTAAGGTTGAACCACTGATGACACGTGGACTATTTTAAAGATGTCCTTACTACGTTTCTGGGCCTTGACCATGGTAGTTCCCTTGCTGTCTACAGAGGGTCAGAAAGCTCTTGGATTCCATCAAAAATATCTTAATTTGTGTTGAGAAGATGAACGAAGGTCTCACGGGTTTAGAACGACATGAGGGTGAGTAATTAATGACAGAATTTTCATTTTGGTGTGAACTATCCCTTTTAGGTAGACTGTCTTCCCATAGCACTTTGAAGTAGTGTTGTCAAAAGACCCGGTACTTTTGGTACCAAGTCGGTACTAAAAAAATGAAAACGTTACGGTACAAGGTTTTTTTAAGTACCGGTTAGTGCTGGGCGGTATGACCAAAAATGTATATCACGGTATTTTTTACCAGGTTTTTTTAAGTACCGGTGGTACCGAGTACCCGGTCAACCCGGTTCTTGATGTGCTATCCGAAAGGTGCGCAGATGCGCTCTCTTCATAAAAGCACTGAGAAATGGCGACCTCAAAAGGAGGAAACACATCAAACTAACAAACACTTTAAAAACCGACACCTGGATCAAATGAAAGAGTTCAAGCAGGTAAGTTTCCATTTTATTTTTAATAATTCGATCCATATCAACTTGTGGAAAATGGGCATCCTATGACCCCTTTAACTATTTAATGCTCCTATAACTTTTATTGAGGTAAAAAAACAGGAGGACATGGTGGTATTTGCTATTTTTACACACCAGAGGCTTTTAAATGAGTTGTGAATCTAAAATATCCATGTTAGAGAATGTACAAATGGTTAATTTTAACAGATTGAACTTTTGATTTTATGTATTAGTAAATTTTGGAATTAACCCGAAGAAGAATAATTGCTATATAACTATTGTTTATTGACAATGTTTATGTTATCTAACAAATGGAATCTTATTGTAAAGTGTTTTTAATACTACAGTTTCCATCTATTTGATATACACTTGACTTAAAATATATGTAATCTTATCTCAATTTATTATAAAAGGTGAGGTTTGTTATTTACTAAAAAGTTATATTATTGCTGGTGTCAATGATCTAATGTTGCATTTGGTCAGACTCAGCCCATTGCTTTACTTAAGTCTATTATATTTTCCTTTTACATACTTTTATTACTTGCGGAAAAACTTGAAACAATTTTAAATAAGTATAAAGAATGGCATTGATTTTTGTACATTTTATATTTTGACTTTATTAATACAAATAATGTGTTTTTTAATTAGTATGTTTTTGTGTTTTGCTTTGGTACCGAATGATCTAATGTTGCATTTGGTCAGACTCAGCCCATTGCTTTACTTAAGTCTATTATATTTTCCTTTTACATACTTTTATTACTTGCGGAAAAACTTGAAACAATTTTAATAAGTATAAAGAATGGCATTGATTTTTGTACATTTTATATTTTGACTTTATTAATACAAATAATGTGTTTTTGTGTTTTGCTTTGGTACCGAGAACCGTGGATTTTCACTGGTATTGGTACCGAATACAGAAAGTTTGGTACCATGACAACACTACTTTGAAGTTTAAAATTCAGTCAAATTCACTAGACTCCAGAAACTTAGACAATCAAAAGAAAAATCCCATATATACTGTATGTAAAAATAAGTAATTCTGTTAATAACTACTTAACTTAAAATATGTAATCAACCACCTCTGTGTCATCGGCTACAACAAAGACCATTTCTGACCCATGAAAAATCCTGCCTATAAAATAATTGACAGTACTACCCAGCACTACTTTGTATTTAACTGCATTGACATCCCAACATTTCATGCAACAATGTGTCATTAGTAGACAAGGGTAGACAGAATGCAAGGTGTCAAGGACAAGGAGAGGAAAAATAAAACAGAAAGATATAGCACTCAAGACGCTGTGTCACTGTCTCACTTTCACTATCTCATCTCCAGCTTTGTCTAGATTTAGTGCTGTTTTTCTCGCTTTGACACAGAGTATATGCCACATGAAAAAAGGGTATGAGAATGGCATGCATGTAAATTGTGTTTTGTTACAACTGCCTGGAGAAATTCAGATGACGCATCTCCTGAAATTAATTACCTCTACTGCAGCCTCATCTAGCCTCAAAACATCCAACTATTATGTCAGGGGTTGATAACCCTCTTGAAATTAAGTTCCATTTTTAATTTGTCTTGTTAATCAATGTGTCAAATCTACAAACAAAAAGCAACAAAAATCAGACTAAACTTCAAAGGTGCATTCACAAGTAGCACTGCACAACTGTTACTTTATGTACTTTATTATGTAATCCTTTTACATAATATTTCTATTATTATAATATTTGTTTTATTATTAAACATAAATAAAAAAAAAATTCTAATTCTTTAATATTATATATATATATATATATATGCAGTATAACTTTCTTATATAATGCATGCTATTTTAAATTATTCTTTAAATGTTTCCTCTAATAAGTTTCGGACATTAGGTCAAAATACTTAAACCAAGAAACATGACTAAAGGTCCTTGCACACTTAATCCGAAATTTTCGTATGCGTTTTTCCATTTTTCTCCTATTCGTCATCCTTTCCTATCAAAATGCTTGGTACGGATGAGAAAACGCAGAAAAATGAACCTGGTCTGAATTTTTTTATTACAGACGAAAGTTTCGGAGGCAATGTGTAAACTTGATTGACGCAACGACGTCGTATTTATTTTTTGACATGCTAAATTTTCAGACAAGAATTTTGGATTCCGTGTGCAATTACCTTAAGAACACAAGACAGCATTTCTATAGAAATACGTATTCAGTTTTATCTAACAATTGATTTGCTGAAGTACTATGAGATCAATTTTAGGGCATCACAGTTTGATAAACGTGCTGCACTGTTCTACTGGTCTCTTTCGTACAGAAGCAGCATACAATCATGTACAATCATGATTCGTGAGAGCAATCTAAAAGCGGCTCTATGGCCAACCTGCTCACTTCTCCCCATTAACAACCAAACCAAACCCCACCCAGCATTTCCACTCAGCCCCAGAGAAAAATATAATCGCACAAGCTGATAAAAATCCAATCTTTTCCCCAGCTGTAAAAGCTGTAAAAGTGACATTCTCGGAGAGGAGGTTTAAAACAGCTTTACAAACACGTTGTGTAAGAACAACCTGAGCCGCATGATGAAATCAGTCAGAAAGGTTACACCACCACAGAGAGCCCCTCATTTCATTTTCCCCAGTTTTACCAACACGCCACACACGCACTTCTCTCTGTGGAGTGCGGAGTGCCTGTTGACTGATGACCATCATGAGGGCCACTCATGTAGTGCATAAAAGCACAGGGGCCCCCTAATGGGCCTGAGCAGCTCTTCTCAATGACAGCCGTCATAGACAAAATTATACACGTTTAAAATGGGTAACTGCCAATCAAATAGAAATTAAAGGAACTAGATTTGAAATGATTATCATTCAGCATTAGTGGAGTTTAAGCATTTTAAAATAGTATATGTAATTACAGTCAAATCTGAAATCAGACTGATCTCACAGCTCATACTGTATGATGCATGCAACATTACAAAACCAACCAATACTGTCATTCTGCCGAACGTCTCCCTTTGTGTTCCACAGAAGAAAGAAAGTCTCAGGAGTTTGAAGCAACGTGAGTGTTCATGAATCACTGATGACGGAATTTTCTATTTTAGATTAACTGTCCTTTTAATCACTTAAATGCAACCACAAAACTAAATCAATATCGACCATGTGCTGTCCACTTCAGTGAGTCAATGAAAACTGCAGAATATAATTTGAGATCTATCAACACATATGATGCATGTGACCATATCTAAAGACAAAGTAAAAGCTTAAAATAGCAATAAAAAGCTCAAATTTGAACTTTAACATCATGCATTAATTACTCAACATCCGTTAAAAGATACAGAACTGTCACATGAAGTATTACATGTGCACCGCCAGTCTGAAATAATGATTCTGCAGATTGAAGATGCCGAGTATGACCACGCCAAATGCAACGTTATTTATAAATATACCTGAAAATGGACATAATGTTCTGGATGGTCCCAGTTCAGAGTATCCTTGACTTTAGACAGTGAGACACACGCGCTTATGTTAAGCCTTTTCCCCATCACATTACACATCTGGAATGCAAGCTTGCTGGAATTCATCAAGTTACACTTATACAGAATAGATGTTTACATGTTTGGATTTGCACATATATCCTATTTCGCTCTTGGAGAGCACCGTTAATTACGTTTAAAGAGTACTCACTCACCTTACTGTTCGCACGCAGATGCAGTCAGTCTCGCGTCCTGTCCGAGCTCAACTCAACCCGGGAGAAATCTTGACCGCGCAATCCCAAAATTTCCACCAGCGCCATCCAGCGCCGCAGCCAATTCAAGAAGATCTCGCGATAACGAAGTTCTCTACATATGCAGATCTCGCGATAACGGGTTTCCCTTCCGACCAATTTGCTACCATCTGCTGGAGCTAGTTGGTACTATACGTCAGAATGCCATTACGTAACCGGGTTTGGTTTTGTGTAGGGAGGCGTGAATTCTGAATAAAGCATCTGAGCGTGTTCGCAGTCTAACATTGTGTCATAATCACACAAAAAGCAAACAAAAGAGTGGCTGATGGTCTATAACTGGCACTTTCAATGAACTGAGTAGATGTAGGTCTTTAAAAACTTTAAAACTTTAAAAACGAAGTACATTTTGTACATTTTCAGCAAAGTATCAGTCGAAGGACGTGCTTAACGTTGAGAAAAAAATATACTTGTCCACCTCTGGACAGGTTAAACATACAATAAAGTTAAACTATATATCTTCTGTTTTATTATTAAATACAATTATCATTGTCATTCCAAACAACTGTTGCACATTTAGCCTATTAAAGCTATCACTCATTTATTATTATATGATTTTAAATGTTACATACAGTAGAAAAGGAGAAAGAAAGACCTAAATGGTAGCGCAAGCAAACATCACAATTTTTCAGTTTAAATTAAATTAGGCTAACTTTTCATTCTTTGATAATTTTAGCAAAAAGTTATTTAATATAAATGTATTTTTTTATGTATTTGTTTATTTTTGAGTAATGTAACAGCATTTAAAGTCTATTTGTGGAAAAATCCAGTTCTTAAGAATGTAAGGACCAGCTGCTGAACAAAGATGAACAATTTTATTAGTAGCATACATACACAGACAGATTGCTTCCTTATATAAGAAACAAGACCATATTCTGTTTAGGGATAAATGTTTATTTTAGTGCTTGATCATTTTTGCCTATTATTTAGTTTGTGTGTATATGTCTATCATAAATACCAGTGCAGTCAATTAGGCATAATGTGTCTGGTAACATATGAACTAGCTAATCACAACATGCAGTGATGGGTTTCCAAAGAAAACAGCACACAAAACAATGGGAGAAAGGGCAAAGATGATTCCATTCTCTTGCAAATATGAATCAGTCATAGTTTTTGGGGGTGAGTGCATAAGGTCCCTGTTTGCTGGTCTGTGTATGTGCTTTACGCATGTGTACTTGGCCTTCATGTTAGAATATGTATGTTGTTTTTTGTATATATTTATACATTTCTGTGTTGTTTACATATGATGGGCAGGTTTCTTAGAGGTCATCAGTCTCTCCATCAAAGGGGATGTTTTCCAGCTCCATGTGGATGTGGCTGTGCTCCTCATTGCACGTCCAACCGATCGGAGTGCGGTTGAAAGAAGGCCGACAGCAAATGTTATACTGCAACACAGACACTGGCTGCGGCTCCTCATCGGTTACCTTAATCTCTGGTTGCTCAAAGGTGGCAAGACGAGAGGCCTTCTCAAATCCTCCAAAGGGTAGAGCAGTTCTTTTGGACATAAAGAACAAGAAGATGATCAGGTAACTGATGATGAATTTCTCCACCCTCTGCTGTCTCATCTTGAACATTTTGGAGCCCTTGTTCTTCATGAGGGACAGCTCCTCCAACATCACATCTTTAGGGGTTTTGATTTTGGTCCCCAAGTCCAGTTCAGCAGCTTCAGCATCCTCATCTTGCTGGTCTGGTCAAGATCAGTGTTGTTGGGAAGGAAAAAGGAGAATTCAATCAGAATCAACACAATCGTTAAAATGACTTTGAAATATTAATAGAATTCACAGCACTAAACATTTCCTAGTGTCTAAAAGAAGCTTTTTTTTTTTCTTTTTTTTTTGAAAAAGGGGTCTTATCTATTATATATAGAAGCCCTGTACTCTTTCAGTTTAATTATATTCCTTCTCAACTTTAAAATCAGCTATTAAACCTGGAGTCAAGCCACATCCGACACCAAAGAGAAGGATGCTGTGCTGAGCACTGCTTGCATTACCTTGTTAATCAGATCCTTGGCCCAGCTTCAGCAGTATGTGTGTGAGAGTGTGTGTTTGTGAGTGAGCTTTGGGAATTGCGAAAAATAAAGAACAAAGCAGTATGCACATTCAGAGATTTTGAATCTTATTTATAAGTTATACAGAGCAAACTGAGGGCCATGGTTAAGCTTTTAACAGCTGTGCAATTATTCAGACAAACAGCAATGTTGTTTTCAAATAAATAGTTCAGTAATTAAAAACTAAATATTGACTAGCTTACAGTTTAGACACATTATTGTTAGTTACTTTGTTTACTTTTGCTCCACCATTGAAAAAATTTCCAACTAGAGTCAAAGAAAAATCAACTTGTGTGTCTCAGAGCAACACAATAATCAATGAATGAGTGTTGTTAAACAATATGGTTAAATGAATGATTCAATGACTCACACATAAAGACAGTGACTGCATCTCAGAAGGTATTACTTTTGAATAAGTAATTACTTTGTGACCGTTAAAAAGTATATTCTATGTAGTATAAATAGTATTGAATAAGGGGTGGGCGATATACCGGTAGACACAATTGACCAGTAGAAATATATCAACTGGTAAAGATTTTTGACTACCCTGTTGAAAAAAACAGCATATGCTGGTTAGGTATGTTTTGAAGAATGGCTGCTGGTTTGAGCTGGTTTAAGCTGGTCCTTAGCTGGTCGTGTGCTGGTCCTAAGCTGGTCCTAAAAAACTAGCTCCTGCTCAGGACCAGCTTAGGACAAGCACATGACCAGCACTTGACCAGCTTAAATCAGCTCATGACCAGCTAAGGACTAGCTTAAACCAGCTCAAACCAGCAGCCATGCTTCAAAATATACCTAACCAGCATATGCTGTTTTTTTCAACAGGGTATCGTCTCTATTGTAGTTACACACTCACATGACGTTGCTGTGCTACGTGGTCATGAAAACCTATCATTTGCACACGTTTTTAAACAATGCAATTAAAAAATAAGTGACTTTAAGTCACTGAAATGTAATCAGCTGTGAAAGAGAACTTATTTTGCTATATGTGTGCACTGTCTGAGAGACTGTTTCTTAGCGCTGTCAGAGAGGTGCGTGCATGTGAAGATGGTGCTTATAGAACATAGAAGTATTGAACAGAGTTATTTTTGCCTCTTTATATGCCTTGAATGGTTAAAAACACAAACTTGTATGTGTCAGAAGAATGCCCATCTTTGCAAGTATCCTCATAAACACAGTAATTTAGGTCTTAAGTGAAAGCAAACAGCTGAGAAAGAAAACACATGTGTAACAGCATATTGGATCTGGCAGCTCTTAAAGTGACAGCAGTCTAATATTCCTGCTTTGTGTCATTCATGTTAATCAAACAACAAAAGAGAAAACTGTTTGTAACTTAAGAAGAAATATATATTTAATTTACACAGTGAAGAATATGCAGTGCTTTTATACATTTGATTACTTTGTACAATGTATGTATCATTTCTTATTTATTTGTTCTAATGTAGTTTTTTGTCATATTGCTTGTAATTAGTTTCTTAATCTTATTTAATAGCTGACTGTTTACTTGTCTTCAGTGAGCTTGGTTTTTCTTTTTTTAAGTTAGCTTTTTTGTGATATTGACACTGGTCACAATAATTATGAAATTTCTATCGTATCAAAAATGTTTATATCATAAAGACCTTATTCAAAACAAAATTAACTATATTGTGATATATATCGTTACCGTGAAATAAAATGACTCATATCGTGATATACTGTTAAGATTTTGGTCATATCGTCCACCCCTATATAGAATGAATAAGATCCGAATGTACGGATGTACATTGTCATGTGACTTACAGTGTCAGTTGTGTTGCTTTACTGCCATTCACAACTCTTCTCCTTTGGCATCATAGGATAGTAAAATGTCCATCTGGGTTTTTCCTTTTACTACAAATTCAGACATTCTACTCTTTTTACACATTGTTCTTGTATGCATATTCAGATGCGGCATATAAATCCTGACATACTACTGTTTCTACAAACTTTTTTTCGCCTACTATATAGTAGATATGTAGGCATATACGGACACAGGGAGTCACAAGTGTTTTAAATCGGTTTAATTCATGATTCAATGACTCACTCATGAAACTTGTCACTTGTATCCATGTAACCTGTCACTGCAAATCCACCAACACTAAAAGAACAATCAGTCTAGTCTAGAATGCACAAACATGGATGAGTGGAGTGATACAAACAATAAAAATCAAATTTGAAGACTGAAACTAAGTGTTTGCATAAACACATTATGAAAAACACTGTAAATTTGTCCCAATATGTGTATGCGTGACAATCTGCTGAAACAGACTGAAGTGAAATTATTTGAAGTTAAGTGGCTTGAAATCTCTGCTGAACAGCTCTTCATATTGGCAATAATTTTGCTGTTAATTTATCTGGCTCTGAATTGCTAACCGCAAGAATGTTGTTCTGTAAACAAACTGCCCATTATGAGCACACTGCCAAGCAGATGAAGTGGGAGAATCTAGTACACTAAACATGCCTTCACACACAGACAAATTAATACACGGCACCTAATAACTGAGCTGCTCATTAGAGGAGAGCTGTGAAGTCACACAGTTTGACAATGTCTTTTGAGATTTTGCTCTCTTTAGCAGAATAATTGGCCAGCTACATACTGCATAGACTAACCGCTCATTACACTGGTCTTCAGATGACCGAGGTATCAAAGCTGGGATGAGTAATTGCATTGCAACAGCTCCTCAGACTGTGGGAATTGATAGCCCATGACTCCGACACAAACAAGAACATTATAACATGCTGGTCTAGTTCAAATGTGACATTTCTCTGAATCTAATGACAGTGCATTAAAAAACGATTCAAACTGTGACTATTCTTAGAAGCTGAGACCCAGACACTCATTTTAACGTCGTTTGCAATATGTGCTTATGCAGTGTGTGTATATTCTTTCTTTTTGAGCCTCTGCTTCAACATACCAATCAATTAAATGTTCCTCAGTGGAGATTTACACTTTGAGAAAGTTATCGAGAGCCTGGAGGTTGCTTGGCATTTCTGGCTCTGGCTCTTTATGTTGACACCGGACACTAGTGAGGGCTTTGGCAATTTCGTGTGACATTTACAACACTCATCTGGTCATCACAGAATATCACAAGTGAGCGTTCACCCAGTATTATGTCCATGGTGCGTGTATTTTCACTACAAATGCGTATGTGTGACACAAAGAGACACCACTGACCATGTTGTGAGATGTTTGAGAAGTCTGTGATGATTTTTGAAGGCTTCTTCCTCTTGTTGGTTGGAGCAGGTGTTCCAGAGACAGGCATCGCTGCAATCTGAGGGAGGAAATTAAATCTGAAATAAACTGGTTGGGGAAGATGGGGGAAAATGCCAGGTGCATTTACTGACCAATTGTAATATATGTAGGTGTGAGTTTTACATGATCATGCATCACCCAAAATAATATTAAAGAAAATCAGAATGATCAAATAAAAGGGTAAAACTAGCCTAGAATATATGAAATGCATCCGATATCATTTTTAATAATCTGTAAAAATTGTAACAATCTTATCATTTTTAATAATTTATCAAATTAAGAACACTATTTCTCAATGAATTCAAATGTTTATTACATTAAATCATTAAAAAGACCAGCCAACAACGTGCCACAAGGGGTCTTCTGCACCAATGCTGAGGGGTTTATTTTACCCCAGGAGTCTCACTTTACCTTTTTTGAACTTACCAAAATAAGAAGAAAGAAAAAAAAGAAAGAAAGAAAGAAAGAAAGAAAACTCTCCAATGTTTAGGTTTGCTATTTTTTATGATTATTAGATTTTTTTATTTTGTGTTATTTTATTTTTAGTCTGTTTTTGATATCTAAATTATTTAGATGAAGTAAAACTAGGAAGACATATACAACAACAGTTAGCTTTGTATTTTTCTAGTATGGCTTTCTATTTCTGATGACTGTTTTTGCCTGAATATTTAAAGTGTCCAGTTAATTCTGATAATATTAACAACATGTAACGTATTTTTAAATTACGGTCAATTGGTAAAACTTTAAATTCCAATACAGACACCAGTCTCTTGTTGCGAAGAGGGGTATTTTTGTTTAGCACACTAAATAAATCCACCGTGTTCAACTGGTCAGCAAATTCCTCAAATGTCCTGCTGAAGCGTTGCAATGGTAAGCCTTAAGTAGTTTGAACACCATATTAAACACATTTCTGAGGAGCTGTGAGAAAACATTTCTGCATTTGAATTTCCAAAAATAAATAAATAAATAATAATAATTCCATAAGGACCTCACATTTAAATCATTAACAATGACATACATACATTTAAACAGGAAAATGTGAATGTTATTTACTTTTATGTGTGTTTCTGTATAATTAGTTTAGCATTTTTATGTTTATGTGAAGAAGATCCAGCGCTATGTCAGTGTTTATTAGATCTGTGTGATTTATGATATGCAGCTAGCTGTGGCTCTATCCAAGAAAAACATATATTTTTACAGTTTGCAAACAATAAATCATCTCGACATACTCTAACCCCTCAGTACCAGCCTGTCCAGATTAAGAGCTCATTATAACATTTTATCACCTGCATTTCTCCCTGTGCAATCAGAACAGCCAAACAGCACAATGATTCCTCTTACCTGTGACCAAAGAATCAATGTTTCAGAAAACAAATCAAATCACAGTTTGAATCAAAGGTTCCCAGGAGAACTGTTGAGGTTAATCCTGTTTCTTAGGGTTGGCTAGGATTCCACCAACTACTGCTCTCTTCTACATCCCAGGAAGAGTGCAATCCTAGCAGCGTTTGGGACAGGAGGTCTTTGGGGAGCGGGGAGGGGGTGTAGTTCAGTGTGTTACAGACAGCACAGGGACAAACCGAGCTGATGGCAAGGAGATACTTTTCTTGCAGATACTTTTTGGTCTAAATATAGAGCAACGAAGAGCAAGATGTTTCCAGAGAGGACCTGAAAAAATATGAATTAAGTTCCTATTATTATTTCAGTCACTTACTTTTTGAGATTGTGTATTACCATTTTTTAACTGAATATTGAATGTAGTTCATAAACATGATTCTTGAACATTGCACTTTCAACTTATTTTTAAAACATTTGGGCAACTTCTTTGCATCTAACTTTGAAGCTTATGCAAATTGACGTAAATAGTGTTCTAGTTATGAATGCAATATTTAACATTGCAGCCACTCATTTGTGACCCTGGAGCACAAAACCAGTCATAAGTAGCACGGGTATATTTGTAGCAATAGCCAACAATACATTGTATGGGTCAAAATTATCGATTTTTCTTTTATGCCAAAAATCATTAGGATATTAAGTGAAGATCATGTTCCATGAAGATATTTTGTAAATTTTCTACCGTAAATACAGTATATGAAAACTTAATTTTTGATTAGTAATATGCACTGCAAAGGACTTAATTTGAACAACTTTAAAGGCGATTTTCTCAATATTTTGATTTTTTTGTACCCTCAGATTCTAGATTTTCAAATAGTTGTATCTCGGCCAAATATTGTCCTACATCAATGGAAAGCTTATTTATTCAGCTTTCAGATGATGTATAAATCTCAATTTCAAAAAATTTGCCCTTATGACTGGTTTTGTGGTCCAGGGTCACATATACCGTGTTCAACTGGTCAGCAAATTCCTCAAATGTCCTGCTGCAGCGTTGCAATGGTAAGCCTTAAGTAGTTTGAACACCATATTAAACACATTTCTGAGGAGCTGTGAGAAAACATTTCTGCATTTGAATTTCCAAAAATAAATAAATAAATAATAATAATTCCATAAGGACCTCACATTTAAATCATTAACAATGACATACATACATTTAAACAGGAAAATGTGAATGTTATTTACTTTTATGTGTGTTTCTGTATAATTAGTTTAGCATTTTTATGTTTATGTGAAGAAGATCCAGCGCTATGTCAGTGTTTATTAGATCTGTGTGATTTATGATATGCAGCTAGCTGTGGCTCTATCCAAGAAAAACATATATTTTTACAGTTTGCAAACAATAAATCATCTCGACATACTCTAACCCCTCAGTACCAGCCTGTCCAGATTAAGAGCTCATTATAACATTTTATCACCTGCATTTCTCCCTGTGCAATCAGAACAGCCAAACAGCACAATGATTCCTCTTACCTGTGACCAAAGAATCAATGTTTCAGAAAACAAATCAAATCACAGTTTGAATCAAAGGTTCCCAGGAGAACTGTTGAGGTTAATCCTGTTTCTTAGGGTTGGCTAGGATTCCACCAACTACTGCTCTCTTCTACATCCCAGGAAGAGTGCAATCCTAGCAGCGTTTGGGACAGGAGGTCTTTGGGGAGCGGGGAGGGGGTGTAGTTCAGTGTGTTACAGACAGCACAGGGACAAACCGAGCTGATGGCAAGGAGATACTTTTCTTGCAGATACTTTTTGGTCTAAATATAGAGCAACGAAGAGCAAGATGTTTCCAGAGAGGACCTGAAAAAATATGAATTAAGTTCCTATTATTATTTCAGTCACTTACTTTTTGAGATTGTGTATTACCATTTTTTAACTGAATATTGAATGTAGTTCATAAACATGATTCTTGAACATTGCACTTTCAACTTATTTTTAAAACATTTGGGCAACTTCTTTGCATCTAACTTTGAAGCTTATGCAAATTGACGTAAATAGTGTTCTAGTTATGAATGCAATATTTAACATTGCAGCCACTCATTTGTGACCCTGGAGCACAAAACCAGTCATAAGTAGCACGGGTATATTTGTAGCAATAGCCAACAATACATTGTATGGGTCAAAATTATCGATTTTTCTTTTATGCCAAAAATCATTAGGATATTAAGTGAAGATCATGTTCCATGAAGATATTTTGTAAATTTTCTACCGTAAATACAGTATATGAAAACTTAATTTTTGATTAGTAATATGCACTGCAAAGGACTTAATTTGAACAACTTTAAAGGCGATTTTCTCAATATTTTGATTTTTTTGTACCCTCAGATTCTAGATTTTCAAATAGTTGTATCTCGGCCAAATATTGTCCTACATCAATGGAAAGCTTATTTATTCAGCTTTCAGATGATGTATAAATCTCAATTTCAAAAAATTTGCCCTTATGACTGGTTTTGTGGTCCAGGGTCACATATAATTAGGGTTGTCCTTAGGGAGGTGCATCTGGTGCGGTCGCACTGGGCCCGGACTGAGGGGGGCCACACTCCCTACCTTGCACCGAGCCCAGCGTCAGCTAAGGACGGCCCTGCATATAATGTTTACTTTGTCAACAATATTTACCAATTTAGTACTTTTATTGTAATATTGTGCATATTGCATACATCTATAGTGTAGTATTGTTTACACTATTTGTTTTTGTTTTTCAGTTGGAATAATGCTTAAAATCATACCCTTTTATTCTATATTCATAATGGTATTGTTGACATTGTGCTGATATACTGTATTTCTTTTTCTGGGTTCCCACTTTGAGAAGCACTCTCAGGCAATAGTGTATATGACAGATATCCAGAATTAAGACATATTGCACCTGAAGATGAGTCGAGATTATTTACAGTTTGCACTTCACAAATTTAGAGTCTGAACAGTAAACTTTAATATGGCATGCAGAGAGAGTTCCAGTCAGTCTTACACACTGACTCCTCTCCATGTCAAACAGAAAATAAGACAGTGTACCTCGTTTAAAGAAGAGCGTGTCAACAGAACTTTCTTGGTGCAACATATCACAAATCACTGTTTCAGGAAATGCATCTCCATGTGTTTTCTTTCTTGTATTTAGTCTCAAACGGGACAGAGACGCTGAGTGGAGCACCTGCAGTACTGGCCATCACCAGCAGGGCGTCTGAAAGGTGAAAGAATGAAAAGGACGGAAACACAGACTTGTAGCTAAAGTTAGCACCTGATATCTTGTGACATATGATCGTGGGGTAGGCTATAGACCAGAGGGTCAGAAGGCAGTTCACCATATGAGTGGAGGTAAGATTACACTGCCAAAGCTAATCCGTGTAAAGTTGTTCACAACAATCCTACCTCTAAGAACCCACCTCTTGAATATAGGCATAAAAATACGATTCATTTTACATGATAAATATACATAGCAAAGTTTTATGTATATGTATACACGATAAACATAAAAGTATTACTTACTCTGCGCACTTTTTGGAAAATTGTATAATTTAAAACAAGCCTAGTTTTATTCAGTGGGGTGAACTCGAACTACTTCATTTTTAATATCGACCAACAGCGCCACTCAGCGTTTACTGCAGATCCTTCAGCATAGAAGAAACTAAATACATTATTTTATGTGGAACTATCTGCTCTAAAACAGTGAGCATGGCCATTATATGATGGTCGTTATATATATATATATATATATATAGGTTATATCAGTAGATTATTCTAGCCTATACCTGAGAGCTACGAAATCACCACAACAAAAGAGAAAATAAAATCCAAACATCAGCAGCGGTCATTTCTACATTTATTTTAATTGCTCTACATTAACTCATACCGTACAAATTCGTATACATATTCCCAGTCCCTGAACCCAAGAATCCAGTAATCCATTACTTTCCATTTTCTCACATTCAAATATTTGCATTGTAAATATATTTCCACTTTAAACTTCAAATAACCCAAAGCAGTAAGTGTGATTGTTTGAATATAATTACAATGTTTTCAGAATATTTAACGCAAACACAACACATTTAATAAAGAATTAAAGCTTTAAAAATGCTTTGTAGAAGCATGACATACATTCTGACAGTCCGATTAGTACACACTTATGAAAATGTATATTTTAGTGTATAACACTATCTAATTGCCCCAAAAAAAGTGAAAAAGGCACTTTCCTCTCTATTCTTGCTTTTAAATTTTATATCAGTTTTATATCTTGCTTCATACCTCCCATATCCATACCTCCCACTTTCTACTTGACAACAAGGTACATTATAGCTTTACATCCGATCAACCTTCTTATCCTTAGTAGAGAAATGGTACGCACCATTTCAGGTTGTTTCATCCCACCAAGGCCATTGGGTAGTTCAACTAGGCATGTACAATTTCACAAATGCAGTTGAACAGCTCACACAAGTTATTGAAATGAATGTCATACCTGTTTGGCAAAAGCATCATTCACAATGAGAGCAAGCACCAGGGAAAGTGGTCAGATGTCACATTTGCATAATATGTCATAAAGATAAAGCAGCGCTTTCAGAATTTGTCATCTAGTGTATTTTTTCAGCTGTCATATGAAAAAGCCCCAGCACAATTCCCCGCAGTGGAGTTCACATGCCTTTCTAAATGCTCAATCAAAACCTTGGCATGCGCAGCATTAGGAGGATAAAATGAGCACATGCATCAAGCATCCATACTGATCCTCGTCAAACAAGAAGCAAAGGCTTTTGTGCAATGCTCTAGACAAACACAGGCCTGCAGTCCAAACTCAAGAGATGTTTAGAGAGATAAAGGATGGATAACATCACAAGTAAAGGGCATGGCAGAGGCCAGAATAGATAACAATTGAAGAGCAAGAGTAGAGCAAGGGGGTGGTTTGTACCATCTCTCCACTTGAGGATTTTTTTCATTTCAGGCCACTGTCACATTCTTTGTACACTTCTTTCATCTCTCTGTCACTGAGACTTTGATAGAACTCGGCAAATACATGTCTTAGAACATTCTATACCACTTTTACACAAATATTCAATGATTCTGTGCTCCATTATCTTCTGTCACAGCTGTAATATATATATATATATATAGTTTACTTACCCTTTATCACTCCATCCTTATGGCCCCAAGTGAAAAAATAGCAACACAATCGATTATTATCACTTATCTTCCTTGTGGCCCCAGTACATAATGTCAAAACTGATTATTATTAGACATGAATGCCATTATTTGATTTAGTTGCTCTCACAAGTAGTGACTTTGCAATTCTGTCTGTGGGTTAAACATGTTCATTTGGTGTAAAATAAATGGGATGAGAACTGAAGTAGAAACATGAATCAAAGTTGTGTGGATAGTACATAAATATCTCAACATTCTGATGAAACTGAATAATACATATACAGATATATGCATACTCTATTTTAAAATATTTGTGTACTTGTATGAAGTGACTGAAAATTATGAACATGCAAAAAAATACATCTTTGACTGATGTTTTTTGTCATATTACTGTAGACTAACAATTCATTTAGCAGAAGAGAGTTCGAGCGCTCTTGTGCTCTTGCCCAGGGTGGTAATTACTGTCAGTGGACTCTCAGTAATGTATGGAGCCAGGCCTCCACACATTTGGTTGCAGACCCATGCTTGATGTACTGAAGCGGGGTCTGGGCACCCGTAGGTTCTGGCTACTCCCAGACCCTGAGGATTGCACACCAGCAGACAGGGGACTCAGCTCAGGGGCGCTCTTAAACTGCTTGGCTGCTTGGAATGGGGTATAGGCCTGCCCAGGAGTGGGTTGTGGGATGTGCACTGAATTGGGCACAGGGGCAGTGGATATTTTGGGGAGAGCAGGCAGGGCTGCTGTCGGGGCAGGAGGTGGTGGCGAGAATGGTGCTGCAGATCTCGGAGCAACAGGAGGCGGGGAAGTGACATTACTGTGCCACATCGGCTCACCGAGAGTCGTGGCAGAACGGGGGGCGATTACAGTAGGTGTCAGAGATGTGGGTGCAGACATGGGAGTAGGTGTTGAGAAACGTTTGATTTCATACACGCGGCTTGCTTTAACAGGGACCTGCTTCGGTGCATTAAGGGAATTACCTGTCATGCCAACACCATTCTGCTGCTGCTGATAAGTGGCAGTGTTTTGAGGGACTCCACCTCCATAACTGAACAAAGATGAGTTGAGCTGGTATGGCTGCCTGCTCACAAAGTCAAGAGCCTTTATACCTTGTTTGTGTTGGCCAGGCACTGTTTTAACCCCAACTTTAGCTGCATCATTAGTTTTGGTGCCACGCTGGGCCACTGGAGGACACGAAGGTGACAGCAGTGGATTATAATTAATGGGTGGTGGGGCTCGGATGTTTGGAGAGTATTTCCAATGAGCTGGGAGGGAGGGTGTAGGAGAAGGATCACGAGGATGCGCTGGAGATTTGGGCTGTTTATCCACCACGTAGCGGTCCATGCGACTCTGTCTGCGTGCAAACAGCTCCGCACCTTTACCTTGCATCTGGGGCATCTCAGGAGCTGGTTTAGGAGCCACTGGTGGTGGCATCTTGTATCTCTGTGCCTGCATGAAGTTGCAAGCCTCTGCACCCAGGTTGAGAAAATCTTCTTCAGGGCCAGACTCAAACCCAGCCTCTGCACCCGAATGGGACCTGTCATCCAAGTTCTGCACAAGAGACAGTAGCTCAGGGTTGTAAGATGGAGCCTTCTTATCCTCTTTAGCAGTGAACATTGGTTTCTTGGATCCACGACGATGAGCCTCCTGCAGGATGCCAGTGCGGCCGGCAGGGACTGAGACCCGCTGCTCTTGAGAAGAGATCCCATCAGTGGAGTTAGAGAGAGAATACTGCTGGGCAACTGGTGCATTTGGTGTTTCTGGAGTAGTGGATGCCACAGAGATGTATGGGTTGAAGGAGACTTTGTGTGCTGGGGAGGATTGCACATTTGGTGTTGCAGGAGCAAAGGCATGGGCGGGTGCAGGGGCATTGGGAAAACCTGGGGCATTTGTGAGCGGGGGAGAGAAAGGATGTGTCGGCATATGAACTGGTGGAGGTGGCTGATATTGAGCAGAAACCGCATGATGGTATGGAGGACTGAGCGGCATTGCCTGTGTTTGGGGAGGATAGTAAGTTTGAGCCATACCAGAAGGGGAACTGAAAGGTGTTACATAAGAAGATGTTGGAGAAAAAGGGGCTGAGGTGCTGGAATAGGTTGGGGAGTAGAGTGGAGCATTTGAAGGGGGAGGAGAAGATGGACCTGAAGTGATTGAGGATGGAGAGAGCACAGAGGAAGGACCATTGTAGGTGGCTGGTCTAGCAGGGATATACAGTGATGTTGTAGAAATAGCTTTCTTCCCCTCCGAGCCAGCAGGAGAGAAAGAAACTGGGATATTTGCCACAGACACAGCCTGAACCTGTGATCCAGCCTTTTTGGCAGGGCTGGGCCTGAAGACTACTGGAGCAGTTGCTGCTCGGTGGCTCACACAGCCAGGGGCAAATGGCCTGGCAGTTCTGTTGTGCACTGAGCTGGCAGCTGATGAGTCTACTTGCTCTGGTAATGCTCCTGCCATGGATAGCATAGGCGTCTGACCTGGCGAGGACAACACAACGCTTGTCCTGCTCACTACCAAAGGTTCCCCGTTTACCATACTGGTACTATGAGATGTTACGGGTGTGACTGGAGTAACTGGGGTATATGTCAGGGTTGAGTCTCCCTGATGCTGTGGCATGGAAAAAGCCGTGGGCGTAACCAGGTTTGACGTATGTTCTTCTGCTCTTTTCCTCTGTTGTTCAAAAAGCTGGGCTCCTTTTCCTGAAGTGGCATTTAGGCCTGGGCTAATCTTTGCATCTCTGCCAGGCATAACACACGCTGAAGTTCTCTTGTCTAGAACGTCCAGGTAACCACTATCCCAGATAGGGTCTGGTGCAGCAGAAAAACCGTCCTCGTCAAGCTCAGATTCACTCCCAGGAAACAGGCTTTCGTCCTCAGTTTCTCCCTCTGTGTTACTATAGCTTTCTCCGTCTACACTGCCAAAGCAGGTGAGAGTATACTTCTTGGCACGCTGCCGTCGCTTCTTGAACATAAGCACACCTTTAGAATGAGGGTTAGGAGCATCTGTCAAGAGCGAAGCAATGGTTCTGCATTTGGATCGGGCCTCCTTCACCTGCTTATCTTGTAAATTCTCACCTCTGTGTAGCTCTGCGGAGAGAAAGATAATGTGTATATCAATCAGCGCGAAATACTTTCAAAGTCTTTACTTAAGCCAGTAATATTAGTTGTAATATCACATTTTAAATCACTTAAATGTAATGATGATGCATATTTATTATGTATTTAAAGTTTATTATACTGCTTCTTAATATGAGAATCACTGGATGCCAATTGTTTTCCATTCTGCATTAAGGAATGAACAGGCCTGTTAGCAGGCCTCGAATGAACAAATTTATAAAGGGACACCTATGACTTTTATATAACAGTACCTTTGGTGATGAATGGGCAACATCAAACATAAAGTCACATATAAAGTCATCAAACAAAGTCACAACGTTAATAAATCAAAGCTGGCATTGTAATGATTGGAACACATTTTCTAGTTGAGTCAGAATAGCTCTGATAGTAGACACTATAATGCAGTGGGTTAGATGCTGAAATGTCTGGCAAAAAAATGCTCATGGTAAATTACTGAGCTCATCCTTCTCTACAAATAGCCCATCACATTCTAACAGCTTGAGCAAGTAACCCCTGGGGATCCAGGATCTATATTAAAAGACAGGGTAACGGAATCTGATATTTCTATAAAAACAAACCAAAAATAAAAATGAAAACCTCAAGAGTACAGCATTTTTGCTAAGATATTCTCTTTCTAATCTGGAGGGCCTCAAAACATCTTCAACATTGAATCAAATTATGAAGGATAAAATTCAAAATATTTATTTCTCATAAATAAAAGGTCCAAATGAAGACATAAATGTGCATTTGATTATACTAATTATCTAGACATGACAAATAACTGTTCAACAAACTTACATACCCTTACATACCTGCTAGCAACAAAACATGTAGAAATGTTTTGTATCGTTTTCAATAAATCAAAAGTACAAGTAAAACTACCTTACACAAAAACCACATATCAAAACTGATCTTTGTAAATCTGAGATCATGTAAATAATACCTCTGTGCTATCCATCACCTTGTCTCACCTGTCTCATTTTAAACACAATGTTGGATCATTTAAACAGAAAACAAGCCCCCTATCTCTCTAAAGCTCTACAGAAGCTATCAGGACTCTACCTGCATAGATGTGTCCTTCATGTTCAACCTCTCCAGGCAATGTGAAGCTCCTCATGTTGTTCAGGATAAAAACTGTGTTCCCAAGCCAGCCTTACTGGCACACACAAACACATCAGTGGAGCACAGCCAGCAATACTTGGGTGCTCTGCCCACTTTGGTACGAAATCAACCAGTCCGTAGCCTGAGGTCAGGCCTTTTAAAGACCTTTTGTCTAACCACAAGACCCTGTCACAGGCCCAAAGAAACCCCATTATGTCATTCAAGCTATTTTTGTCAGTGAACAGAGCTAACGGACATTTCCCACCTGTTTGGGCACACATCAGCCTCTTCCTGGATAGGCTAGCTTAAGCTGAGCGTCATATGGGGTAATGCTGGCATCTCCAACCACACCACAATGACTTTAAACCTACTTAGACTCTGAAGCAAGTACTGCCAATCAGACTCTTTGAGACTCTGGAGGCAACATCTGGGCAACATTTGACTAAAGGTCAACCGCTTTATCATGATTGAACAGTATTTACTTCAAATACCCCATTTTGACAATTATCAGCCAGTAACCACAGTTGTGGCACACTGAAATAATTCCTCCGCATTATTCTGAGAGACAGACACATTCACAATATTTTGTACCATGCTCTTGCGACCTCCCACTGTGCTGTCAATAACAGGTGTGCACACTTTGTCTTCTCTTCTTACCAAAGCTATCTGAATGCCCTGGCTTATTCTGTAATTTCACCACTAACAGTGACAGAGAAGAGCAGCTGTCATGGACCCTTATCCTCACTGCAATAATGTCTCTAGCCTCAGTGAGACGCACATGAGAGAATTCACAAACAAGAGTTCTAGATGTTCAGATTTCCCAATGGAGATACAGAATTAAACACCGAAACGTGTTTATTTATACGATCCTCAAAATGTCCCATCAGTCTTGGAAAGCAAAGTGACCTTCAGACTGACTGTCGGCAGAGTGCCATTAGTTGAGGAGAAAGCCTTCCCAAATGCTTTCGAGAGGGGAATTAGCACCCCATCAGCTACAGACACAAGATATATTGTTTGACTCCAATGAAGTTTCCAATATGTGTTGCTATAAGAAGAAATGTGAAAAACAGACTCCTAATCCTCATCATACTACATCACATTGACACCTGTGTGTATCTCATATTTAGGATAAGGTCAGATTGTTAACCTTTGAGAAGGATAAGCTTTCAGATCACTGAATAGTGACTCAAGCCATATGGTACTCAGTAAAAATCGGCAGTTTGCTTTAGTAGAAATAGATGACTAAAATCTAATTTCAAAAAATAAATAAATAAATACAGTTGCAGAACCACCTACAACAGAATTACCAGAAATACATATCATTCTAGAATGTAGGGTCTTCGAATATTTACAAAGTGGGACATTGGAATCAAAAAGTTTGAGAACTACTAATTTATGCCATAAAGGAGAAATAAACTACATGTAAAGAATATTTTTGTGTAACAAATGGAGATCATTATTGGCTCTTAAAATCACATTATTAGCACAGACTCAACCGTTTAAATGGACAGAATGAAATATCACTGACACTGGACAGCAACTGGACATGCCTTTCCCAGCATGCAGGCCTGTGTTATAGTTGTGAGTCAAGGGACAAATTTAGGCTATTGCTCACTTGAGTCCAGCCCCTTCCCCTGCCCCGTTAAACCCTGAGCAGGGGGACATGAGGAACCCCCATCACCAACATTTGCATGAGCTCCATTACAAATCCCAAACCACATGTGTATGATTATTTCCCACTGAGCCATATCCTGTTCTTAGGTTCTGTGCTAACCAATGAAGCAATATGTATGTTTAACTACAGTTTGTCATAAGAACAAACAGATAGTAATGATTCAACACATTCAAATTTCACAAGTCTTAAAAACGCAAAATTTACTACATTTCAAGATTAACATAACTGAATGTAATGATCATTATTTTCAGTTAGTTCATTCTGTTAATAATTTGTCAGACTCATTCAAACGGAATTCCGGTGTTTGTGATTCATTTTGAACGATTCATTAAAAAAGCCGCCGCATATGAGTCATTTGTTTATGAATGAAACTACACTGGTCATGTTTGTTTTTCTGTTCAACCCATGAACACAGCTCACTAATTTGTACCATAATTCTAAACTTGCAATCTATGGCAAATCAAGTGATTATTTCAACCTCAAATGCACTTGCTTTGCACTTACTTTGTGACCAGACTTAGTAATAAAAAAAAAACTGTGTGCCCTTACTCAAGAAAATCTATTTTAAGGGTCAACACAAAGTATGCAGAAATTAATAGACTGACTTCTGCCTTAATTTGATCAAATATCACTGAACCACACTCCTTCCTGACACAGGAGATTGACTTCTATCAAGTGGATTTCCAAAGGTTAAATTTAACACAGTCCAGAAATAATGTATGAGGTAATGACAGAAAGAGATATAGGTTCAGAAATGCTGAGCTTATCTTTATTTATATGAACTAAAAAGTTATTCTTAGTTTTGCTTATTGCTCTATTTACATAAATAAAATAAGTTAAAGCAACAATTTAAAAATGTTAAATAAAAGTTTAATAAATTCATTTCTGATTGGACTGCATTCATTAGCTTCTTTGTGTAAGTAAAAAAAAAAAAGCATAGCTTTAATTGTGTGCTATTGCCAGTTAGTAGTTAACTGCCAGTCTGACATTTAACTTTACTTGATTTATTTGATTCCATTATGTTTAACTACACAATTGTGTCCATTTATTGTTAAAAAAAAATCAGAAGTAAAGTTAATTAAGTTCTGTCAAAGAGTTTTTTCTTTAAGTCAATGGCAGTTTATGTTTTATTAAATTATGATATTTAGTTTTTTTAGATATAATTTTTTTTTTACTTTCTATTCATCAAAAAAAAAATATCCAGAAAAAAAAAAATCTTAAGCAGCACAAATGTTTTCAACATTGATAATAATAAATGTTTCTTGAGTAGTCTTGAGCAGCAAACCAGCATATTAAATGATTTCTGAAGTATCTTGTGACACTGAAGACTGGAATAATGACTATTTATTAGTGCTGGGCAATGATTAATCATGATTAATCACATCCAAAATAAAAGTTTTTGTTTATATAATAAGACGCAAGCATGAGAGCCTCTTTTGCCCGCTCTAGAGAAACAAGTGGAGGTGGGACAGTGGGGGGCTCCTGGAAGCCACTGTCCACTTCAGCAGCTCCTGATGGACTTTGGTCAGAATTCTCAGAGGAATTTTCAGCCTGGTGCAACCATTCAGCCTGCGGGGGCTGGTAAACCACCTCTCTGCGGGCCACCCCAGGCATAGCACACTGTTGCTGAGTCCCCATTCCCTCTAGATCAGATACAGGCCAGCTCTGTGTTTGAGGGTACATGCAGACGTCTTGGGCGCTCTCATAGCCGCTCATTTCTGAAGTCTCCTCCTCTTGGGGTGAGGCTTGGCCAGGACTCTTGGCAGGAGAGCTACTGGGGCTTCGTCGTCTCTGTCTACGCTGCCTCTCTTGTGCCGCCACATCTGCATCACTGTCTGTCTCGCCGTAGTAAGCCTCGCTGTCTGGAGGGGATGTAAGCCACTCGAGGCCACCGGTGGGGGACATGAGCGACGCTCTGTTGACACTGGACCGTTTAGAGGTAAGTGGAGGCGACAGGGCTCTCAAGGCTGCCTGGTACTCCTTATCAATACGCGGGGAGGGGGAGGGGGCCCGACCTAGAAGCACCACTGACTGATATGCAGCTGGGGCCCTGAATGGAAACACAGTGATTATCTTGAGTATAAATTTTATAGCATGACTAACAACTCCACGTGATAATGATGTCTCAGTCTGACCTTTTAATTCGCAGATAGAGGGTTCCTCTGCCACTATCAATCAGATTCATAGCCTCAGCATGGGATAGTGTTCCACAGGATACATCATTGATTGACACCAGCTCATCAGTCTCTCTGAGCCCAGCCCGGCAGGCCTTACTGCGCTTTCTCACCTTCAACAGCAGGAGGAGATAACGTCAGCACAAACTTTGTGTTGATGAGTTGCAGTGAGAGAAGATAAATAAGTATCCAGCTGATTTTTACCTTATTTAAATGTGCAAGGCTTTCTGTGTCACCCACTTCTAGTTATAGTAGATATAGATATAGTAAGATATAGTAAGGATAGTAACTGGTAAATATCCCTCAAATTCATTGTATGGGAATTTAAGCTTATCATACTCTGGTTCACTCTTCATACTGTTACTTATAAGTCAGTGGGTTATCTGTATTTCTGAGTGGCAAGTGATGGTCTCGCGTCACAGTTGTGGACTTTCCAGTGCTGGACTACATTATCACTGGCTACTTTTCATTGGTAAAGTACATAAACATTTATTACACCTTAAAGGGTTAGTTCCCCAAAAAATTTAAATTATGTCATTAATTACTCACCTTCATGTCATTCCAAACCCGTAAGACCTTCGTTCATCTTTGGAGCACAAATTAAGATATTTTTGATGAAATCTGAGAGCTTTCTGACAGAACGCCGGCTCCTGTGTCAGCAGCATCACACATATGCATTGTGGTACCGACTGACAGAAGAGAAGAAATTGTTGACTAAAGTTGTAATTTTTGTTTTCTTTGTGCAAAAAAAAGGATTCTCATAGCTTCATGAAATTACAGTTGAAGCACTAATGTCACATAGACTATTTTAATGATGTCCTTACAACATTTCTTGGTCTTGAACGTGTCAGTTGAGTTGCAGTCTATGCAGGGTCAGAAAGATCTCGGATTTCATCAAAAATACCTTAATTTGTGCTCCGAAGATGAACGAAGGTCTTACGGGTTTGGAACGACATGAGGGTGAGTAATTAATGACAGAATTTTCATTTTTGGGTGAGCTATCCTTTTAAATATTTGCCAAGTAGGCCTATTTATAAAATAGTACCACTCTTCAGGTTCTGTCCTTGCAAGAAGTGTAATGATTTGTTAGTTTTCTCACGTACATTTTTTTTTTAATATAGGCCTCTTAAATTCTAAATTGTTTGTTTATCACCATAAAACACAATTCATTCAATTTGTGTGCCATATTTATAATATGTACGGCATAGGCGACATATTAATTGTTACATATGCAGATTAATAGCAACATTCTTTATCATCCCTCATGCTCCATGGACACTTAAAGTCATTTTGAAAATTGCTCCGTTCCAGTGGAACTCTCATTGAAACTTTTCCCAAACAGATTTCTGAGGATCTGAAGATTTCATTCTTGATCTCGCTTCAGGACTGCACAGTACAGTGACTGTTACATGAGCAAATGACATCCATGTTCACCACTAGAGGTGTTTCACTCATTAATGAATTTTTTAAGTGAATTTGTGAATCGTTATATGTATTCACTGAGCTTGAAAGCAATAATATCTGGACGCTATGATTCATAAGCATATGGCTCTTGGTATAAGCTAATTATTTTAAAAAATGCTTTGAAACAAATCGGTTAAATGAATGATTCAATGACTCACAAAATGACCGAAGACACACAAGAAGCCTGAACTTATTCATGTAACCTACAAAATGTATCCCTGAAAGAATCAGTGAACAACTCTTTTTGGTTGTTGGATTCATACTAATTTATACTGCATACAGATTTTAAAACACAGTTTCATACTACATACTCTTTCTATTACACAGGATTTTTTTTTTTTGCCTTAAAACACATCACATACATGTTTAAAGAATAATAATGTACTAAATGTTGTTTATCAAATCGTATATTAAATTAAATTCAATTAAACTGTTCTGAATTAGCATAGAATCAACTGGGAACCAGTTAACTGTGAATCTGATAGTTTCAGTGTCAGACCAAAGATTTGTTAGGCCTCATCCTCTTGGTTTTGTTTGAGTAGATAAGAGGGATGAAGCTAAAAATATGTTTAAAGAGACTCGCTATGGCTTTATGCCCATCTTCAAATACCATCTCCTTGAGAGTACAGCCTTTTTGAGGTCATCTGTCAAATATGAGAGCGCTATTCCAACACTCACTTCACCAACACTTCACCAAGCTAAAAGTCTGGCTGCATTCCTGTCTTTGTCCAAAGACACTTTTTAAACGAACTGTTCTGAGGAACTGGAATAATGTTTTCACTAGCCCAAAGCATAGATTTATATTCCCTTACAAAGGCCTAAAGGGATTAGTTTAGCTCAGATCAGCTCAGACTATTTTGTCATAAGTAACGTCTAATTTTAAAAACCGTTTTTTGTATGTGCAAGTTGTAGACAAAAATAAATGCTATGAAGACCATTAAAAACAACAAGTGGTGTTAATTTGCTTTTCCACGAACACTGGTAACACAAATTTGTAGTTGGAAGAAAATAGATGAAAGCCGATTCCATTCACCTTCTTTTTATTGCCGATCAAATGGTCTGAGAATGCAAATAGGGGGAACAACATGTGAAGCTGGTGCCAGGGCAGCTGTTGCCTCTTGGCAGACCTGAACCAGGGCATGTCATGAATTCACCATGTGTTGTCCACATAGCCTAAATAAAGTGCTCAACTATTGTAAAGTGTCAGTTGTCACTGAGTGTCAATAGATTTAGCTTAAAACTGCATGTTTTTGAGAAGTGGACTGTCTAATTTAGTACCGTACGGTAATATAGTAAATTAAGTCGATCTGTATTGTATCAGATAGCAAAGGACTGAATGGAAGTATGAATGCATTTACATTGTAAGTACTACAAGCAGGTATTATGAGGACATGCTGTACGTCCTCAGGCATTTTCAAAACATTGCCAGAGCATTTTGTTAGCTGAGCAAGTGTCACTGAGGTCGTTCTAGATGCCAGGATTAAAAGAAGCTATCAGAGATCCTTGTGGATCAGAATAGCTCAATTAAAAGTAGAGATGGTCATGGAAAAATGGCTACACCGCAAATGGAAACAGATGAAAGTCTGCAGAGGTGACCTTGAAATGAAAGACGAGGGGAAACTCCCTGCTGCTGGACAAACATTTTTTTCCAAGCAAAAATATATTTCTCTGAATAAAAAAGTCAGGGCCATCTCTCTGTGATGGATATCTTTTCCCTCAGAACATGGAAAGAGTAGAGCAGACCGTCTCTGGCATTGCTCACCAATCCAAAATAGATCAGGGAAAATGCATTGCACACAGTTGTCACTTAACAAATGGGGCATACTGTGCTTATAAGTAGACACTGTGGCTGTAATTGTACTCAGTCCTGAAATAACATCCTCATTTATACAGAACTGTGTGAGAATGCTTCTTTGAAATATCTGGATTCCAGAGGAAGCTAAACAAAAGCTGTCAATTAGATAAGAGTGAAGAGATGCACTGTGAAGCCTAGCAGGTTTATCTATGGAGCAGGAATGCTTGCAGCACACAGCCAAATAGCTCTTGAACAGCATTTATCAACAGATAAAATAAGTGCTCTCTGGCCTGTAGTTGAAATTTGATTTGACAGTATTATCTTATTAATGTTTGCCCTTATTAAATGGGAGATAAGTAGGTGCTATATCTTAAATGCAACAAAAACATGTAATAATACTTAATTTAAAAGGGCCCCAAAGTGATATATCACAAACACATTTTTACACATGCTAGAATGGGCCACATGAGTCTTTAACAGAAAATGTCTTCAATAACACTATACTCTTGATGGCTTATCGAGTGTTGCATTCCTCACTGACACGTGTTGAACAAACATATCTGCTCAGTTAAGTCAGACCAGGCCCACATTAAATGCAATAGACACTGACAAATTTGATTTATATATTAATTCAATAAAAAAATAAAAGTAAAGAAAATGTAAATTTTACATCAATTATTTATGTTACATTTAAAATATTTTATATAAATAAAATGTTTTTATTAAAATAAATATATGTAAAAAATCGAAAATAGTTGTTCAGATTAGACAATGTGATTTTACAAATTAGATATTTGCATGTTAAGTAAATTATATAAACTACATTATATTGTATTTACATATACATTACATTATATATTTGTAAAATCACATTGTCTAATTTGAAAAATTGTTTTATTTTTGTTAAATACTGGACATTTGTTAAATACTCATGTGGGTCAAGCTGCCCATTGTAGCTTGTGTCATATATCATTTTGGTATGAACTCAATAAGAACTTTTGGGAGCCCTTTAAATGAAATATAAATTGTATATTTATGTTTCAAAGCCTGAAAATGCAATTAAGATAAATGTAGCATCCACATATCTCCTATATGTTATAATGCCATTCATTAGATAAAATAATATTGTCATATCATAGTTCAATTATGTATTATGTAATATACGTTCTCATATTGCTCATACACAAAAGTCGGACTAATTTAAATTGGAAGTTTTAGTGTTTTTAATAGCTTTACAGACCATTCATTTAAGTAAAGAGACCCATGATTCAGCATCCAACTGTCCCCTTACCTTTGCCACTTGGAGGGGTTTCTGGTGCTCAGCTCCTCCTTGTAATCGGAAACCCCACGGTGCACCTCCTGACAGGACCACCACTACCTCCTCTGCGACCATTTTTATTTTGTTGTTTCTGTGTCTCTCGTAAATGTTTCTTGGTTCTTAGTTTCTTTCAATAGTCTTGTCCCATCCCTGGATGTTCAGTCCTCCTCCGTGGCCCAGTCTGCCTGCAGAGCTTCTGTCAGTTCTGAGAGGTGAGCGCAGACACACACCCCATGGGCCATGAGCATGTGAAGTGTGGGGAGAGCAAAAGGGGGCGGGAGGAAGCGAGAACGCCTCTATCTCACTCTTCATTGGAATGCTGGGTCGGTGGGTGGGGGTGCGCCGTCTAGATCCAGGACCTCCTTCCTTCATCCTGCTGGCCACACTTGTCCTGTCAATCCACTGCCACATCCAAAGGATGCTGATAGACCCTCTAAAAATAAACACCCCAGCAGTCCCACTGAGCTTTATCTGTGAATGCCCTCAAAATGTGAAGGGAGCTGTTAGAGGAGTTATTTTGGGAGTCAGATGACACTAGACCATATTGCAAATTAAAATGAAGCTTAATGATGCTCATTAGACATTATAAATAAATGTTTAGCAAACTGGTTATTCCTGGGGGTTTCATCAGCTAAATAATAATGGGGACTTGTTCATTTGATCTTAGATATAATGTTGCTTGACCAAAGATGTTTGCGTGAAAATAATTTATTGTAATCAGCTATGCTTTCATTTATAATTTAGATATTCTCCGTGTTATTTGGCAATTTCTCTTTGGCATTTATTCAGATTTGTTGTTTTAATATGTTGTTTTTATTTTATCTTTTGCTATAGCATGATTTACAGCACTATGAAATCATCTTTAGCTATAACATTCATTTACATTAACATTTAGTCATTTAGCAGATGCTTTTATCCAAAGCTACTTACAAATGAGGACAATAGAAGCAATCAAAACCAACAAAAGAGCAATAATAGAAAGTGCTGTGACAAGTCTTGGTTAGCCTAATGGGCTAACCAGCCAGGGAAGCCAGGACAACATATCACAGCCACCGGAAACACCAGAGACACAGCCCATCTCAGCAGACACATTATCCCTCTCTCCAGCATCTCCACTTCTAAGCTTCTCACAGAAAATGGAGGAACTGGTGTATGCTGGGACCAAACTCTCAAAAATGCTTCCTAACTATAATAAGCATGTGGTGAGTATAAGAGATTTTTTATGAAAAACATTACATAACTTTTGAACAGTTGTGTATATGTGATGCTCCCAGTTTGAGGGAAAAGATCCATCAGCGTAATCATGCTGCCTACTTTCTGAACAGATTTGGATCAGGAGCGTCTCAAAGCGTCCAAAGCGAAGGAAGTGAGAAAACAAAGGAGGGAAAAACAATACTTTCAGGCGTCCCACACAAAAACACGTTGTCAAGTTCAGACATTAGCAGTTGCACAGGTCAGGTGTTTTCTGGCAGGAGAAACCCGTTTCCTGAAACCGCGTTTTTAACGAACGAGAGCCAACACATTCAAGGCTGTTCTGCGGAAACGAAAGCGGCTCTAACACATCGAGATTCTCTTTAAAGTTAAGTGACGTGACTGTAGAGCGCAGTGGGGTGGAGCTGGGATACTGGAAACCAATAATAACATTCACTTAACGCAGGTTAAAGAGGTTGTGTAAGTTTGTGAGTGAGTGAGTGTTGATTTACCGCACACACTCAATGCCTTCATTGGCTCTAGTTTTACAAATAAACCTCCACCAGCAAAAACAAATTATTATTTGAATGCAGTCCGCCAAAGTCAAGAGTCCTGCAAATCTTCTTTATAGATTTAAGCTTGTGAAAACCTGCTGTTGTGCTCTAGAGAGACTATAGACCATCTAGATTCCAGATGTATATTTAAAAAGACGTTTATCGTCACATCTGGCCTTGAAAACACGACCCAGGCCACTTCAGGAAGTCACAGACAATACGTGATGTTTTCTGAGTCTTTTTTTATGGTTCAGAAAGTTGTTGGTCTACAGTGCTGGTGGGAATTTCCTGCATTAAATATTGAAACCCTGTATGCCATCCCAAACGTTGCTTTTTTTCTGTAGGAAATCTGTAAAAGGACGCTTTCCTCACACTAAAGGAAAATGCTTGGAAAGTAAGGTAATAAACAGCATTTGATCTGTGCACTTCTTCATCCTGTTACATTTACATTTAATCGTTTAGCAGATGCTTTTATCCAAAGCTACTTACAAAAATAGAAGCTAGAAGCAATCAAAACCAACAAAAGAGCAATAATAGAAAGTGCTGTGACAAGTCTTGGTTTGGGCTAACCGCTAACCAGCCAGGGAAGCCAGGACAACATATCACAGCCACCGGAAACACCAGAGACACAGCCCATCTCAGCAGACACATTATCCCTCTCTCCAGCATCTACACTTCTATGCTTCTCACAGAAAATGGAGGAACTGGTGTATGCTGGGACCAAACTCTCCCACTCATTCGCTGCAAGCCCCCAGATATCAACTAAAAAATGGCGGGCCTCCCAGCCACCGAAGCCTGTGGGCCCAGCTCGTCGTCTCCCTCCTGTGAGAGCTCTCCGGCCGCTGCCACAACGCCAGGGCCCAAACCCTCCATCTGCTGTAGGTGAACCAAAAACAACTGACAACCGACATGTGTCGGGTCCCCGCTATGATAGCAGCAACATTCACAAACGTTTACAGAACAAGCGGAAACCCAGTGTGCCTGTAGCTTTCTCTATTTCTGTTTTATCACGTGATAGAAAGTCTAAGGTCTTCTCAAGCCGTACGGCTGACCCATCTAATCTGTGGTACAAAAGAAATGAAAGCAGTTTTAAACACTTTTGACCTGATTCAGCATGTGCATGGACCCACACACAGTCGAGGGCACACTCTAGATTTACTCATCAGTAGGGGTCTAACATTTCATCCATTGTCATTGGACTTTTCCAAACTCCCTGAAAACTGCAGTTGTTAAGCCCCTTCTGAAAAAGAGCAATCATGATAACACCATTTTGAGCAATTATAGACCAATATCAAATCTTCCTTTTATAGGCAAGATTATTGAAAAGGTAATCTTTAATCAGCTGAACAAATACTTAAACTCAAATGGATACCTGGACAATTTTCAAACTGGTTTCCGACTGCATCACAGCACAGAGACAGCGCTCATTAAGATAATAAATGATATT